TCATTTTAATTTAAACTGAAGTGATACATATTTCTTTTTAAGGACTTTGAGCGTCTATTACCCATCATTCCTTTTGACTTGTTTATTTTTTGTGGGGGAGGGATAGGCAGCAGTATGATTTGAACTTTGTGGCCCCCAGGTTGCTAGGCAGGCACCCTCCGGCTGAGCCACACCTCCACCCTACACACATTATTTTTATTAGCATCAATTAGCTATACCAGGAGGTTTCATTTTGATATTTTCTTCATAAAAAACAATCTATAGGCTATAAAGAGAAATTATTTTTGCTACCGAGTTATAGAAAGGTACTCCTTAAACAACTTCACTGATGACAAACTGAGTAAAACCGGGGAAAAAAAATCATGCAGTTAGAATCATCCCTAGGACCTTCCAACTTCAAATAAACATCACAATCATAAAAAACCTGAGAAATACAGGCCAGTTTTTATATTCTCTTTCTTTTTATCCAAAGACTTCAATTTCCACCTTTTATGGAAAGGAAACAAGTAACTAGCTTCCGGTTCAATCTGTGGCCACAGCCAGGCTTTTACACCTCTGAGAATGCAGCCAGCCCCCCTGGAGCCTGCTTGTGCCATACTGATGCTTTCCCTGGAAAGTCATCTTAGCTCAACATGCAAAACTAAAGAAGTCATCAAGATGCCCCCAGGTTCTTACTCCTGAAATATTTAAGCTAAACTGTTTCTAAGAGTACCCCGGAAGGTGAAATTTTTAATTAAAACTTTGAACAGTTTCTCTGTTCTTACCATTATACGCACTTTTTAAAAAAGGGCCTCTCACATTACTCCTCTGATGATATGAAAATATAAAATGACCAAATTGTTATCAATAAAATAAAGTTATATATTACTTTTAACGCTGTATTTTCCTTTAAAAATGGGATGCCTTCACACAACTAAGTTTTGAGGAATTCTTTCCTGCCTGCATGAACCCCAGGGAAGTTAGGCCTCCAGGCCTTTAGAGGAGGGGACCTTGTCCTGGCTGTCACCTCCCCTCCCCACAGCCCCCCAACTCTGATGTGCTTCGGAGATAAGGCCACAGAGAGACACTTAAGGAAAAGGCCTGTTCACATTTGAATTTCTGCATTCCTCAAGAACAATTCCTGGCAATAACCAACTTCGCAGCAGAGCTACATGAAAGCTTTGGCCAATGAATGAGGGTCATGTGCTCTTTATCACAGGGTAAACCTCATCCCGGCCAGTTTCTAACCTTTTAACCCTGTGAATTCCTAATTTACACATGAATAATGGAATTCTTGCCCAGAGTGCAACTTTCAGCCTCTGGTTCCTAAGTTTAGAAAGGAAGACTTGATTGCCTAAGGTTTAAAAAAAAAAAAAAAATAGTAAAACACACAGAAGAAAGTTTACAATGTCAGGCAAGCACTAACTACACTGTTAGAATCTTAAAAAGTAAAGAGGTCTGTTTTGCTTATAAAGATAAAGTGGGCATATGTGGGCCCCGCTGTTATCAAGAACCAGGAGAAATAGCTTAAAAACAACAACAAGAGAATGTCCATTTCATGCCTGTTCTTTTGCTGTTTACTCCCATAATCTCTCTACGCCCAGCCCAGGAAAATGTCATCGGAGCTCCCTTTATCAGACAGTGCGTCTTAGATAACAGAACTCACTTGTTCAGCTCAGGACTTTAAGAAATTTCGTTACATCTATCGAAAATCGCCACTATGCACTTCTTACTTTTAAATATGTGGTATGGACATGGTTTTTCCTAGGATAATACCTCTCAGGATTAAATGTGTGTCTATCAGCGTGGTCTCATACTGTTATAGTCTCTGGAACAGGGAGATAAATATTCTACACCCAGTTCACTTGAGTTTTCCATGGATAATAAGAAAAATGACCTCTCTGCTCATACACACTGAAATGATTTTATACCTAATTGGGTATTATTGATAATTTTATAAAGATACAAAAATCTGAAGCCAGGAGCCGCTGGCTCATGCCTGTAATCCTAAACTACCCAGAAGGGTAAAATCTGAGGATCATGGTTCAAAGCCAGCCCAGGCAGAAAAGTCCATGAGATTCTTTTTTTTTTTTCTTTTTTTTGGTGGTGGTCTTGGGGCTTGAACTCAGGGCCTGGGTGCTGTCCCTAAGCCTCTTTGTGCTCAAGGCTAGTGCTCTGCCACTTGAGCCATAACACCACTTCCAGCTTTTGCTGAGTAGTTTGTTTGTTTGTTTGTTTGTTTTGGGGGGGGGTCTGGTCGTGGGGCCTGAACTCTGGGCCTCGGTGCTATCCCTCAGCTCTTCAGCTCAAGGCAAGCACTCTACCACTTTAGCCACAGTGCCACTTCTGGCTTTTTTTTCTTCTGTTTATGCAGTGCTGAGGAATCGAACCCAGGGCCTCATGCATGTAAGGCAAGCTCTCTACCACTGAGCCACCTTCCCAGCCCCTCTGAGTAGTTTTTATTGGAGGTAAGATCCCAGACTTTTCTGCCTAGGCTACCTTTGAACTGCGATCCTTAGATCTCAGCCTCCTCAGTAACTAGGATTATAGGCATGAGGGCACCAGGCTAGCCATGACTCTCTGACCTCCAACTGACCACCAGAAAGCCAGAAGTGGTGCTGTGGCTCTCAAAGTGGTAGAGCACTAACAATGAGAAAAAGCGCTCAGGGAAAGTGCTCAGACCCAGAGTTCAAACCCTATCACCACTGACCTTCTCCCTCCCACCCCACCCCCCAAAAAAAAACAAACCCTAAAAGTATTTAAAAGCTAGTATTTAGTTAGGTTAGCATTTACTTGGTTAGTTTTTGGATGCTATGGATTGAAGCTAGAGGCTGTGTCCACCCAGGATCTCTGCAATACAGGGGAGGCTGAGCTCTGCACTGAGCCCCAAAGATTAACCTATCTCACACCTTTCAGATTTTATTTATGAACTGACAAGCTGTGTGTGTTGCCCAAGTGTTTTGGGGTGATTCTGTTGTGTGATTCTCAAGAGGTCCAGGACCCCATGGTGGGGTCTTATCCACTGATCCCCACACATCCCTCCATTTCCCCCTTCCTCCCCCCCCCAAAAAAAGTTACACAGCCGGCGCTGGTGGCTCACGCCTGTAATCCTAGCTACTCAGGAGGCTGAGATCTGAGGATCTCGGTTCAAAGCCAGCCTGGGCAGGAAAGACTGTGAGACTCCTATCTCCAATAAACCACCAGAAAACCAGAAGTGGCGCTGTAGCTCAAGTGGTAGAGCGCTTGCCTTGAGCTGAAGAGCTGAGGGACAGCGCCCAGGCCCAGAGTTCAAGCCCCATGACCGACAAAAAAAAAAAAAAAAGGTTCACAAGTCACACTTCCTGGGTATGAACACATAAAAGTCCACAAATCTGCAAAGGTCAAAACCTGGATTCCTACAGAATAATTTCACGCTCAACAGAAATTACATGAACAGAACTTAAGAATAAAAAGCAAGGGGCTAGGAAGGTGGCTCAGTGGTAGAGCGCTTGCCTTGCATGCATGAGGCCCTGGGTTCCATTCCTCAGCACCACAGAAGCAGAAAAAGCCAGAAGTGGCGCTGTGGCTCAAGTGATAGAGAGCTAGCCTTGAACTGAAGAGCTCAGGGACAGCGCCCAGGCCCTGAGTTCAGGCCCCATGACCTATCCCCCCAAAAAAGAATAAAAAGCAAGATAATGTACAGGAACAACAACAACAAAAAGAAACATCACTACTTGGGGGGAGGGGGGGAAGGAGAGAACATCACAGACTAAAACACAAAAAAAAGACAAAAAGATAAAAAAGGAGGAAAGGTTTATAAGGAACCCCAGTTAATCAAGCTAGATTTACAAACATCTCTAATTTTTTTTTGACATTTCAACATGAAAACACTGCTGCGTGCAATGTACTTTCTACAAATGCAATCAACTACTAACACGAGGGTGCCATAAATATGGTCATGCTCAGTAGTGAAATTCCAATCATGGGCCTGAAACCACTACCGGAAGGTTATCTGCCTTTATTACAACCGCTCCCTCTTCCAAACCAATAACTGGTAAGGACAGTGTAAAACTCTGCTTTTTGTGCGCTGTCTGCCGCACAAAACTACACTGCCTGTAAGACCATCAGAAAGTTGGTCTTCGTGGAATTTGACGGGGTACCTGTTTGATCACCTGAAGAGGTCGGAGGTCTCTAGGGAAGCAGATGCCCTCCCTGACCCAGACCCATCCCAATTCTCCAGGTATCAGGTCAACTACTAAGCAGGCCATGCATCACTTGGACAAATGGTTGCTATGATGGGGTGGTTAATACAAAGGAAATCATTAGACAGCAAACTTTATGACAACAGGGGGAGGCGGGGAGGGGCAGCAGATCTGGTTTAAGTCCATTAAGACAGAATATGGAAATGGCCTTAATCTCTCTCTCCCAGCAGGAAAAGGCTAGGAAGACTTCAAAGGCTTGAGAGTTACTGACCAATGCCCTCTCTTACAATTAAAAAGCAACCAGGGTGATCTAAAAGCAGCTGGAGAAAAGGAAGGTTGGAGTGGAAGATTTAGCACTCAGAAGCCATCGGAGGAGGAGCGCAGAGTGGGTCTTGGCGCTGGCTTTCGTTCAGTTACAAACTCTGTCAGAACAACTCTTGCCCCCCGGGGGCAAAACATTGTTATGTTGCAAAACATCCTCGTTTCATAAATTCATATTTATATAAAGCCCCCTCTCCAGGGTATATTTTGCTACAGGTTTGAAAGCTAATTTGACCTCTGTTTTCAATCAATCATTGGAACGGATGTTTTTGTGGGGTTTTTTGCTCGGCATGCCTGTTCGCGGTGACTATTATTATCTCTAGCAAAATTCTTAGCATCAACTATTATCTCCAATAAAGTACTTAAGTGTTACGGATGACTTTCAGGGCTATGTTTTTTGGTGTAACGATACTGGGGCTTGACTTCAGGGGCCTGGGTAGGGTTATTATACTCCAAAGAAAAGCCGCAAAATGTCACCTCGAAAAGTTGCCAACAACTAAGAACTCAAAAAACACTTACTTGACAGGGCCAGATGCGCTTTTTGACTAAGAATGGCTCCATATTTGTTCATGGCCAAGCACTGATAAAATCCCTCATCTGTCGGCTCTCCTCGCCGGCCTTCAGCCTCACGGATGTACAAGGAGCCGTTAGAAAGAACCTGGATCCGTTTACTTTCAGACACTTTTACTCCATTTTTCAACCACGTGACCTTAATAGGAACATCTCCGTGGGCGTGGCAATCGAGAAGGAGGGAGTCTTTTCTTGTGACAGTTATATCCTGGGGCTCTTTTATAAAAAAGAGTTCGCTAAAAGACCACACTCCTGAAAAAGGAGAGAGAAAGAACGTCATGTCCAGATTGTAGGCAAAGTTGTAAAACACACTGTTGTAAAACACATATCCAGGGGATAACACCAAACCAACCATAGCTGCTAGCTTAGAACACCGTCATCAACCTGGCTCTTCATTTCAGCCACGCTTTTCAAAGAGTCAGTGAAATTACCACTTCCAAATATATACAACATGTAACATGTACAGCAGATTACAGCCTGCTATCTATGTATACTGTATTACAGAGAACCAATTAAAAGCACAGGGAAGAGTTCAATAATGTCTACTCCTCCTAAGAATTCTGTTTTCAAGTTCTCTGCTAGCAATTCAGACAAGCTGTTCTCTACTTTTACAAGCTTGTCAAAAAGATCTTGAACAGGGTAAGTCGTAAACCTCTAATTTTACAAGAAATCATTAGCAAAAGTCCGACTCTGTGAACAAGCAAGTTTATTTCCTAGTCCCTTGAAGTGTTTTGGGGACCTCCTACACCTCCTTCTTTGGGAAATACCCGTTTGTCTTTTGTGGCAAGTTACAAGTTTGCATTTTTCTATCTTCCCTCTTCATCCCCCCCACTCCACACTCCACTACCACCACTTTTTTTCCCCCTCAGCTGGGATTCAGTCTCCTGTCCTTGAAAGAAATCCATTTACTTAATTTCTACAGAGCCAGCTAGGTATTTAAAGGACAAACAATAGACTCTGAAAAGTTGGTCACTCTGGCTGCTTGTACTCAGTGGGTGACTGGAATAGGAAAACTTTTATTTCACTTTTTTTTTTTTTAAGAATCACCAACTGTTGGGGGGGGAAAATGCGTGACGAATGGATCCTTACTGTCTAATAGGGATAGGAGATTGCTTAATCAACCACTACACGTTTTTATCGGAGCAGAGGAAATGCTTGATACTAAGCACAATGTCACAGGCCCCTGCCAGGAGGGAAAAAAAAAAAAAAAAGCATCACCCATGACCCAACTTGTGCATTTGGAGCAAAAGCCATCTTTAAGTCTTTGATTCTGAGAGGCAGGGGTTGTGCTGGGGGAGGGGAAGGGGCTCATCTTCCTCCTGAGTCCTTGGGAATTCCTGATGACAAATCCCCAGGAAAGATTTCTCAAGGTTCGGATCAAGCCTTCCCCTTCATGTACAGAGGGGGGTGGGGGTGGGGGGGAGGGACTGGGGGGTGACCAGATCCACCCAAACAGCCCAGCTCCAGGCAGGCCACTCTCCAAGACACCCCCATTGTGTGCGTCCACCCCAGACTTTGATCCTTTTCTCTTGCTAACTGGAAGTCACTCCTCCAGGAGGGGGGTTGGGGGAGAAGGAGGGAGGGAGGGGAGGCAACTTGTAAATAAATAAAATAACCCATTTCCCCCTTAACACCCCTTTTCCCACCCTCCCTACCACCCCTCCCAGCAGGAAAGAAATATGAAGCCCGGGGTGGGGAGGGGGGTGGTGGTAATGCTGGGTAGGTTCAGGCTGGTCCTCCTAGCTCATCGAGATCTTCTGAGGGTCAAGAGTTCGAAGCCAGCCCCGAGGGAGGAGGAAAAGTCCTGTGAGATTCTTATCTCTAATGAACCAAACCCCCCCCCCACCACCACCAAAACAACAAAAAGTCACCAGTGGAGCTGTGGTTCCCACGGTAGAGCGAGCGCTAAGGCTTCAGAAAAAAGAAGGAAAAAAATCATCCTCTCAGAGGCAGCTCTCAGGCCCTGAGTTCGAGCCCCGGAACCGACAAATACACACACACAGTTGCACACACACGTGCATGCACACTCACACACTTGCACGCACGTGCACGCACATGCACACGCGCACACACTTGCTCACACACATGCACACGCACACACTTGCTCACACACATGCACACGCACACACTTGCTCACACGCACACACAGTTGCGCGTGCACACGCACGCACCCCCACCTCCAACCCCGCCCGCAAACAAGACCATGTCATCCAAGTTGCTGCTGAGCTTAACTTGAGAGATTTCGGGGACCCTCGGGCCGTGTGCGCCACCCCCCTTTCCTGCCCCCCCAGATTCAGGAGCGCCCTCCCAAGCTCCCCCCCACACCCCCGATTCCTGCAGAGGCCGGTGCTGAGTGCACAGTCCCCGCTTCTCCCCCAGCCCGGGAGCGCGGGGACCCCGGGCCGAGCCCGCCCGGCGCGCGCGGCACCGACACAATATAAATAAAGCCACGTGCGGGCGCGGGGCGCGGGCCGGGCGCGGGGCGCGCGGACAATGGGGAGGCGAGCGGACGGCGCGGCCCCCACGGCCGCGCGGGGCGCGGAGGCCGGCGGGGCCCGCGTCTCCCCGCGTCTCCCCGCCCCGTCAGACCCCGCGCGCCGGCGCTCACCTGGAAGGCAGCCGAGCAGCAGCAGCAGCGGCGGCGGCCGCCGCAGGCGCGGCGCGGCGCGGGGCGGCATCCCGGCGGGGCCCCGCGGCCGCACGGCGGGCGCCATCAGCGGCGGCGCGGCGCGGGCATGCTCCGGGGTGGCCCGCGCCCCCGGGTCCGCACGCCGCGCTCCCGCCGCCGGGGAGACGGGGTGGGGGGGGGAGGCGCTGCCCGCGGCCGCGCGGCGGGGCTGGGGGGGGCTGCGGGCTCGAGGCTCGGGGCGCGGGCGGCGGACGGCGCGGGGCCCCGGGTCCGGCGTGGCGGCGGCGGCGGAGTGGACAGCGCGGCCGGGGGACTACTTTCTACATCTGGGCCCTGGGGTCGGGCGCGGAGGGACACGCCGGGAGGAGGGGCGGGGGGTGGGGGGCGGCGGGGTCGCGGCCCGGGGAGTGGGGAGGGCGGGAGGGGAGGGGGGGGAGGGGAGGGGCCGCCCCGCCGGACAATGCACCTGGGGGTCAGGCCCGGGCGGAGGGGCTCCGGCCCAGGCCCCGCCCCCTGGCCTCCCGCGCGCCGCCGTCGTGGAGGACGGAGCCACAAAGGCCGAGCATCCGGGCCTGGGCCACATCTCCACCCCCCCCCCTCCCCTCCCCAACTTGCCATTCCCCGGGGCCCCCCTCCTCCTTCCCCCTGAGGGCCCTCTCCCTCCTCCCCTCCCCCTGGGGTCCCCTCCCCCTGGGGCTCCCAGGCTCCTTTCCCCAGGGCCCTCTCCCCTTTCCCTCCTCCCCTCCTCCAGAAGTTTAGGATCCTGCCCTGAGGGAGGAGGGGAGGGGTGAGGAGAGACTTGGCCAGGACAGGGGCTTCCCTCCCTCCCCCAGCGGAAGGACCCTTCCCCACCCCCCCTTTTTTTGGAGGGTGCTAGACCTGGGTCTTCATGCTCTCACTTGGCTTTTTTGGGGGGAGGGGGAGCTCAAGGCTGGTCACAGCTCCTCCAGCTTTTTGGGGTAGTTTATGGGAGGTAAGAATCTCACACTTTTTTTGGGGGGGGGGGTCCAGTCATGGGGTCTGAACTCTGGCCCTGGGCGCTGTCCCTCAGCTCTTCGGCTCAAGGCTAGCGCTCTACCACTTGAGCCACAGTGCCACTTCTGACTTTTTGCTTATGTGATGCTGAGGAATCGAACCCAGGGCCTCATGCATGCAAAGCAAGCTCTCTAACACTGAGCCACCTTCTCAGCCCAGAATCTCACACATTTTTGTGCCCCATTATCACCACCACCACCACCACCACCACCACCACCCCCCCCACACGCACACACACCAGGTTGGTTTTGAACCATCATCCTCAGATCTCTGCCTCCTGAGTAGCTAGGATTACAGGGGTGAGTCACTGGGAGAGATTTGTCAGTGTGACTGGTGACTTCACCCAAATGATAAGCCACACACACACGTCCACATGCACATATTTGGGGACAAAGTTTGTCTACCCTGATTCCATCAGATACAGCACTGAATTTAAAAAAAATTTTTAAAGCTACACAGAGAGGCCTGAGTCAGGTTTGCCTGGTGGCTCATGCTCTTGTAATCCTAGCTATTCAGGAGGCTGAGATCTGAGGATGATGGTTGGAAACCACTGGAGAGAGGGGAGGTGGGGGGCGGGGGAGGATGTTAGGAAAATTGTGAGACTCTCAGCTCCAATTTAAAAAAAAAAAAAGTGGCTGAAGTGGTTGAGAAAAAAAGCCAAGAGAATTCAAGGCTCTGAGTCCAAACCCTAGTACTAGCATGTGCACATGCACACACGTGCTCACACACACACACACACACACACACGGCCTGAAATGAACAATTACCTCTGGAGGGAGACGTTTTATTATCTCTTCCTCGAGTTACTGAAGTTCCTTAATTTGTAAGAACTAGACACACAAAAGGCCCTGGAAGGACCAGATGAGTAAAGGGGGGGACAGGGGGGCCCTAGAATCTCAGCTTGCTCTGATGCACTCAGCTTTAATAGGTCCTGCAGGTAGGTGTTAGGTGGACCAGAGAGATGCCAAAGCTGTTCACCAGTTCCTAAAATGAGTTAAGGCTAACAGGAAGAGTTGAAACACTCATTTAAAAGGTGGTCTTTATATACAACTACTTAAAGACAATACTAAAATGAATAAAATGAAAAGTGGTATCCCATTGCCTGATGCACTTAGCTTTTGCTAAACGAATGCTGCCGACAGAAATGTCACTAAGACCTCAGACCAGATGAACAGCCTTGGGTATGTTCCAGAAGTCATCCTGTGAAGGAGGGGCGTGGGGGACCGGCAGCCTGCTAGGACTGGCTTCCCCTGATGAGTTACTAGAAAACTTTGTCTGCTTCATGATTTTCAACTGACATAATACACATAACATAGCAATACCCTCGGCTATGTTGCTTCCAAACCAGCCTTCTAGATTAGGTCAGGCTGAACTATTTCTAGGCATCAGAATAAAGGTTCATGGGAAGGTGGGGACAAGCTTAGGGTAAGAAAATGAAACAGCAAGGCTGTTTTAAATAGGTGCTGATTCCAATTTACAGAAAATAACACACTGCTGCTGTTCAACTAGGTTGTGTGTGTGTGTGTGTGTGTGTGAGAGAGAGAGAGAGAGAGAGAGAGAGAGAGAGATGAAGCTTGAACTCAGGACCTGGGCACTGTCTCTGAGCTCTTTTTTGCTGAAGACTAGCACTCTACCACTTTGAGCCATAGCGCCACCTGCAGCCTTTCCTTTTTATGTGGTACTGAGGAATTAAACCCAGGGATTTACCCTCTACCATTGAGCCACATTCCCAGCACTTGAGCCATTCATTGGAGATAAGAGTCTCATGGGGACTTTTCTGCCCGAGCTGGCTTAGAACTGCAATTCTCAGATCTCAGCTTCCTGAGTAGCTAGGATTATAGGCATGAGCCACTGGTGCCTGGCTTGTTGTTTTTTGTTTTTTGTTTTTTTGTCCGTTGTGAGGCCTGAACTCTGGGCCTGGGCGCTGTCCCTCAGCTCTTCAGCTCAAGGCTAGCGCTCTACCACTTGAGTCACAGCGCCACTTCTGGCTTTTTCTGCTTACGTGGTGCTGAGAAATTGAAGCCAGGGCTTCAAGCATGCAAGGCAAGCACTCTACCACTGAGCCACCTTCCCAGCCCCTGGCTTGAGATATAATAAATATCTTCCTTTTAAGGAAGTTAACTGAAATTTACCCAAGGTCACTTATTAGTAAGTCATAAGTGGGGACCAGAAATCGTGTCTTCTGATTTCCAGTATTGTTCTTTTCTTTTCGTCAGTCGTGGGGACTGAACTCTGGGCCTGGGCACTGTCCCTCAGCTCTTTAGCTCAAAGCTAGCACTCTACCACTTGAGCCACAGCGCCACTTCCAGCTTATGTGGTGCTGAGGAATCGAACCCAGGGCCTCATGCATGCGAGGCAGGTGCTCTACCACTGAGCCACCTTCCCAGCCCCTGCTATAGGATTCTTTCTGCACTTAATTTCTCTATTCTTGGTTTTTTTCTAGTCCCAGGGTTAGACCTCAGGGCATTGCTAGGCAAGCACTGTACCATGGAACTACACCCCCAACCTAGTGTGTCTCCCTCTCCTCCTCTCTTCTCTTGTCCCCTCCTTTTCTTCTTCTACTTTTTTTTTCTTCTTTTCTTTAGGCAGCATCTCCTTTGTGGCCCAGGCTTGCCTGAAACTTGCCAGCGTCTTGCCTTTGCCTCTTTAGTGCCAGGATTACAGGAGTATACCACCACGCTCTTCTCTCTGGACTTTTTAATGAAACATCTATTCATTTTGACCTCAAAATGTATACCCCATTTCTTTAGCTAACGTGATACGTGCCTCTTCACACTCCTACATTTCTCTCTCATATCTCATCTTATATCAACTAGACTCCGTAGCTATTTAAGGAATTATCCAATTCTTGTGAGTGTATCATTTCCATGCGGTGCAGTACAGTATGTATAGTGGTCAGCACTAGATTGGCTAAAAGCTTGGGGTTGGGTTTCTAACAGGCTCGAGTTCAGATTTCACTGTTGCATAAACACATTACTCATGCTCACAAACTTAATCTATTTAATGGCTACAGTCATGTCATATGACACATGGAAAGTACCTAGTACACAGCTCTATAAAGGCTTGTCATTATCACTACTCAGAAAGTAAATGTCTCTATCAGCAATGAATCTTTGTCCTTTTGGGGAGTGAGGTTGGTTTGGGAAAAGCTAAGTTTCTAAGAGTCAAATCTGATGAATTTGGTAGCTATGGTGCTGTGGTAACTCCAGTGACTTCTTTCAGAAGTTCCTAAGCTGGATTGGAAGGAGTAAGACATGCAAGAGTGTTATTCTTCAGAGTAACCCCCGTGGAAGATAAATCTCACTGAGATTTATACTGAAAACCTCACTTTGCCTTCATATTCTAAAAATTGAAGCCAATTATTTTCAGACTGTAAAGAGTAAAGCCTCTGAGAAAAAAGAGCTGAAACCTAATGTTTAAAAAAAAAAGAAGAAGAAGAAATTATCAGTAATAAATTCAAGTATCCTGACCCCAACTTTGGGAAGAAAAAAAAAATACTATGTGATATCTGGCACTGGTGGCTCAAGGCTATAATCCCAGCTACTCAGGAGGCTGAGATCTGAGGACTGAAGTTTGAAGGCAGCCCTGGCAGGAAAGTATATGAGATTCTTATCTCCAATTAAACCACACACACACACACACACAAAACAAACAAAAAACATGGAACTGTGTATGGCTTAAGTGGTAGAGTACTAGCCTTGAGAAAAAAGGAAAAAAGCTCAGGGACAATGCCTGGTCCCTGACTTAAAACCCCAGGAACAGTGTGAGAGCATGCGTGCACGCACACACACACACACACACACACACATGTGCACGCACACACACACACACACACAATGTGAGCTTGTCTGCCCCATATCCAGACAAATGGAAAGAAGTGGGGGAAAACGTTTAGATCAAACACATAAAAGTATTGGAAGAAGCCAGGTGCTGGTGGCTCATGCCTGTAACCCCAGCTACTCAGGAGACTGAGATCTG